ATTTCCAGGGATGGTGGTTCCACCACTTCCCTGGGCAGCCTGATCCAATGCCTGACCACCTTGAGATTTTCCCTAATATCCAACCTAAACCTCCCCTGGTGCAACTTGAGGCCATTCCCTCTTATCCTATCACTTGTTACCCGGGAGAAAAGACCAACCCTCCTTTCAGAACAGCCCCTTTGTCTCACTCCCTGCAAACTCAGCTGCCACTTTATTCCTGCTTTACTCCTGCATCCTGCCTGTTGTCCTTGCAATTTCCCTCTATAATCACTGGTCTTTGCATTGCCCAGGCCAGCCACAATCCATGTTTCCCTCTCCAGCACTGTGAGATGTTGTCCCAGAGCCAGAAGTGCTGCCGTGGTTCACCACAGCCCCATGTCCTGCTGGCTGCCTGTGACTGATGTTCCAGAGCACAGCTTGGGGAATATTTATTAAATAGGGTTTGGGATGAATAATTGCAGCTCATGTGGGTTTGGGGATGAGGGTTTGTGCTCAACACCCTGAGAAAAAGCTGGAGAAAATGGGTTTATTATACCAGCATTAACCCCAGGGTTAATTAACCCCCCAGGGTTAATGCAGTGGTTATCCCTGATTTCTGCTGGTGGAGGAGTTGTGGATGAGTAAATAAATGCCAAGGATGAGCCCTCACAAGTGGGAGCCTCAGGCTGTCCTGCTGCCACAGGGTTTTGGGCAGTGGGAGAGCAGAGAGTGGAAAGCTGATGGAACAAGGGACTGCCAGGAGCTGGTGAGGAACAGAGAGAGAGTCTCTGTCCCTTGTCACCATCCTCTTACCTGTGAGGATTTCCAAGTTGCCCCAACACACCTGCCTGGATGAGAGGTGTTCCACCAAGGGGGGATTTTCCCTTTGGGATAGAGCTTAGCCAGGGATGCTGTGCCTTGTCACCCTGTGCCACTGGCGCTCCTTCCAAAAACACCTTCAGGAGTGACAAGGCTGGTGGGGGATGATCCATCAGGCTGATGTGGAGGCAGATTCATGGATAAGAGGGAGTTGTAGCTTCCATGGGTCCCTTCAAACTGAGAATGTTCTGTGATTCTGTGTCGTGGAGAGCCTTAGGCACAGAGGAGAGACTGGATCTGGTTCCCAAGGCCCACTTGGAATCCGTGGGGAGAACAGGCACTTCTTGGGCACAGCTGATGGGATCCAGTTTACAAAAACATTTCAGAGTGAAATGAAGCACAGATCCAGCCTCTGCTCCAAACACAGATTCCAGAGAGGGAGAGGGCATTACTCAGTGCCACACTACTAATCCTGTGGGAGAGCATCAGCCAAGGGCAATAATGTTCCCATGAGGAAAGGCAGGAGGATTTGATCCTGCTGGAGATGTGTCCAGCTGTGCCAGTGGGGTTTAAAGTCAGTGTAAGTTCATCCAAACAGCAGGAGTGATGGGGAAGAATCACTGAGTGTCTGCTGAATTATCACAGAATCCCAGGATGGCTTGGGTCGGAAGGGATCTTAAAGATCATCTCATTCTAAACCACCTGCCATGGGGAGGGACACTTTCCACTAGAATTCCCCACCTTCCAGTAGAAATTCATGTCATGGAAGCTCTGGGAGCTGTGTTGTCCCTCCAACAAGGTTTCAGGTCCCCTGATTTTAGTGAGGACAGACACCCATTCAGTGAGGGCTGGCACAAACCTCCCAAGGGCTTTGCAGGTCTTAAACATGCCATGACTTGTCTCAAACCATCCCCTGAGCTGATTTAATGCACTAAACTGGCAGAGCTATAGTTTCTGACACTGAAATGTTTAAATATGACTTTACTGACTGCATAACTGTGATAAAAGAAAAGAAAACCCAGAGAAAAGTGAATAAAAGTATGGGAGAGGGAAAAGCAAATGAAAGCTTGAACTGGCCGCCTGATTCTTTTCCATTTTTGATTTTATTTAACTTACTGCCTTTGCAAATACCTACGTGGGGTTTGATACAACCTGTGTGATGGTTGGGAAGCAGCATGGGAATGCATGGAGATGGCCAAGGGCTTCCCATGGAGTGGCCATGGGACTTGGTGGGTGCAGCAGGGATGTGGCACCGGCAAAGAAGAGCCAAAGCTGGATCCAGCTGTGAGCCCACGTTGGACACTGGAGCTTCAGCCCAGCTGTGCTTCCAGATATGTGAGTTTTCCCCTTCTCCTGGGCCTCTAAAAAGCAAACACAGCTCTTGCTCCTGGCACATTCCCACTTCCAGGGAGAGGAGAAAACCCCGCTGGGCACCAGCTCCCTGCATCTCCAGATGGTTTCAGGCCAGGGTGAGGTTTCCTCAGCCCCGTTTCTGACACCCAACATGTGCCAGGGGGAGGGCAGAGCTCGTCCACGTGCCAAGGTCACCTCAAATCACATCTGTGCCAGTCTTTATTTCCCCACCTGCTCTGCCTGTGCCTGACAAGTGTCACCTCCAAGCAGGGCCAACCCCGAATGGAACAGTCTGTACCTCCTGGCACCACCAGGAGCTGATCTGTCCCCCCCCACACAGGGGTGTGTGATAAGGTTATCACACCCAGGACATGCAGGGAGAGCCCAGTCCCGCCCCAGGGCCAGCTGAAGGAACACACTCGGCATCCCCAGCTCCTGGAAAACGGGTCCCTCTGCTCAGGGTTTTGGGATCCGTGGGTTTTAGGGGCTTGGCACCGGTCCTGGTGGTTTTAGCAGGCGACCACCCCGCTCCCTGCAGAGCTGCTCATTGCTGGTGGGGGCAGCAGGAGGGGCTGGATGGCCTGAAACCCAACTGCAGCCACTGCAGAATGGGAATTACAAATGACAGGGGTGACTCACAGCTATTCCTTGGACTGTGGGATGAATTCCAGCAGAAAGAGCTGCAGCCAAACCCGGGGCTATCCGGGCCCTTCAGACTCCACTTCCCAGAGCGCCAGGGAATATTCAAGAAGGAAGCAAAACAGCACCTTCAGCTCCCTGATTTTAACAGCAGGATTTTAACCAGGGATTTCCCATCCCTGGAAACATTCCAGGTCAGGTTGGGCTGGGGCTCTGAGCAACCTGAGGGATTGAAGGTGTCCCTGCTTGTTGCAGGGGGCTTAGGCTAAATAACATTTAAAGGTCCCTTCTAACCCAATTATTCCATAATTCCATGGTTTTATTTCAGTGCAATGCTTAGTAGAATTCCCACTGCTAAACATTAAAACTTACTCTAAGACAGAGCTGCTGACAAGTTTTTCCAAGAGTGTTAAAGGAGGAGGGGGGCAGTTGGTGGGTCCTGCAGAAACAGAAGTAGGGGAGAATTAAAACAGTGGAAAACAGGGACCTTTGGAGTTTTCCAGCAGGTTAGCCAAAATGTCCCTGGAAGAGAATGGGTCCGTGTGGCTTTTAGGGGATTTTAGGCTCGGCAGGGGAAGGAGTGGAGGCATTTAAGGAAACATTGGGCATGGCACTCAGTCCTATGGTCTGGTTGACAGGGTAGTGATCGGTCACAAGTTGGACTCGATGATCTCAGGGGTCTTTTCCAACCTCAATGATTTGTGATTCTGCAACGACTAAGGGGGAGGAGCCGGGCTGGGCAGCCCTCGGGCACTCCCACAGCCAAACCGCGGGAGGTGCGAGCGATTTAGGTGTTCCCCTCGCTCCCTCCATGGCCGGGGAACCCGGGGAGCAGCGGGAGGGGGTCCCCAGATTCCATCCTCAGGATCCCGTTGGTCGCCCGGTCCCTATCGGGATC